TATGGGGTTGGCCAGTCACTGAGATTTTGAGGTTAACTCATGTTTGCATCATAACTTAGCCTATCCCGGCTCATATCTGTGTTCTCCAATCTCACAGATTCACATTAAATTGAAAAAAGTTGCTTGCCCTACTAGTAGTCCCCGCTCAGCTGACTGAGCAAATGTAGTTGTGAGGCTTACCAAAGCAAAAGCGCTGTGAGGGTATTCAGATGGAAGGAAGAGCTGGGAGTGGAGGGAAGACAATCAAAAAAAGAAGAGTGTGGGTCAGTCAAGTGCTGTGGTGGTGAAGGCATGGATCCTCCATGGCTGACTATGCAGTTTGAATCCCAGATACGACAGCTTGGAAAATACACTGGGCACACGTGCGTGTATGCCCCAAATACCGAGAGGAGATGGGAGGAGAAGGGATTGTGCATGACCATCCTCCCGGGGTGTGATTTCTCAGTCTCTCTCTCTTTGTCTGTTTGGTGAACATCTGTGCCCTATAACAAAAAAATGTAAAAAAAGAAAAAGGAAGACTGAGGGCCCAGTCACTGTGGTGCGGCAGTTATGCCAGTGCCCCATGAGGCTGGAAGCCATATGGTACCATGGGTTCAAACTCCTGGGTCGGCCTGAAAACATAACTGATGCCGAGATCCACAGGCCCTGGAGGGCTGGGGAAGGAGGACTACAGACTGATGAGACTATCAGTAAAAGTAAATAAAGGAAAGGAGTGCCCAAATTCCTGGAATTCCTAGCATATTGACATAGCTCCTTGTCCTGTAACCTCATGTGGATCATTCCTGACAGCAGCTTCAGAGTCTGACTTCTCTTAGTCCTACAGTGCCAATTCAGGTCACACTTCTTTACAGAAAATACTGATCCTGTGTGTAGTTTTTTTTTTTCTTTCTTTCACTTATAGGAAGATGAGAAGTACAACTTTACATCAAAAGCTACATCAAGGGACCAGCAGTTAGCCTAATGGGTATGCCACTGGACTCCCACGTAGTCCACTGCGGTTCGAGTACTGGACCCGGTGGCTTAAACTCATGCCGGGCACGTGTGCATGCGTGCCTAAGATCCCGAGAGGAGAATGGAGGAGAAGGGATTGCGGCATGGCCATCCACCCTGAGGGGTGATTTCTTGCTTTCTGTCTTTCTGACTTTCTCTGTCTTTCTGGCGAGTGCACGTGCCCTATAGCAAAAAACAAAAACAAAGAAACAAACAAAAAAAAAAACAACTCTAAAAAAAAAACAAAAAAAAGCTACATCAAAAATATTTTTCGTTTTGCTTTATTTTGCAGTTTTTTGTTATAGAACATATGTGCTCATCAAGGAGAGAAAAGAAGAAAAGGGAAGGTGAGAAATCACCCTTCGGGAGGGATGGCCACGCCACAAACCCCTCTCCTCCATTCTCCTTTTTGGATTTTGAGCATGCATGTGCATGTGCGCCAAGTGATTTTCAAGTTACAGGTCTTAAGACTCAAACCTCGGGATCAAGCCACCTTAACCTCCATGCCACATGCTGGCCCACATCAAAGATACTTGAGCTGCTACACTCATACCAAAAGCCATTTCAACACGAAATGGCATTAAAGGCAAAATTAAGAGCTGAAGCATTAGCCTGTCTCATGTGCTGTGAGCCATTGATGGACTGCCCCAAACTTGCCTTTTCTTTTGTATTTTCCTCCTGAGGTAATAAAGGAGTGACTATAAAAACCCTCCCCTTAATAACCCAAAATGTCAGAAGTGACTTTAGGGCATGGCCCTCTACCTGAGATCCAGCTTTCTAGTCTACAGTACCAGCACCAGAACAAAACTGGATGCTGTTTGTGGGCATAGATGAAGCCATTTCCCAGGAGAGAGGCAGCAGCATGCTGACCCTGGGGAGGTACCCGATTCTCCTCCTAGGAACAACCACCCCAGGGGAACCCCAGAACAGCGACTACATTTCCCAGCGCCCCTTGGGGCAGCTGTGGCCACGTGAGTAAGTCCTGGGAAGCCTGTTTCTAGGAGCAGGGCAGGCCTTCCCCTCTCCCTCGTAGTGTGGTCTGTGGGCCTAGTGGCTGGAGCACAAGCCCCAGTAGCATGAAGTGGACCTAAACCATGAGGTTGGCAGAGCGAGGGTAGAAAGAACTGGATCCCTGCGAATGGTGGTGCTCCCCCGCCACTCTGCCATAACTGATGTGAGGGTCTGGTCCCAGCCCCTGTGATTTTGGGTTTGTGTCACTCAGACCTAATCTGAGCTGTTGTAAGAGCTGCCACTTGCTTTAGGTTAAAATAATAGTAATATTAATCCAGGCAGTGCTGTGAGAGTTTTAAGCTTAAACAAACAAACAAACAAACAACACACACACACACACACACACACACACGCACACAACTCATTTAATATAACCACCCTATGGAGAAGTATTATCATTTATCCCCACTGGGGATACGATTATGTAGCAGCTGCCACATAGCCTGCTCAATGTCACACAGCTGGATCGCAGAGTCAGAACTTGAACCCAGGCAGAATGACTCAGCTCGGCAGTCCTGTCCTGTTAACAGAGGCTGGCAAACCAGCGGAGGGCCAAGGCCAGCCTGATGCCTGTTCTTGCTAATAAAGTTTTATTGGAACACAGCTCCAGCCAGTCCCTGGAGGGTCAGCCCTGTTGCATTTACCCCCTGACAGCATAATTACGTAATTATTATGGAGACCCAACGGCTCCCAGATCTGAAGTAGTTAGCACTCGCCCCTTTACTGAGAAAGTTTCCTGGTCCTTGTTCCACATTAGTCTGCCTCTAAATCTGATGTGGAAAAGTGAAACGTTTTCGAAAAGATAAAGTAAGAGCGATTACTTACTTTAGAAAGTGGTAAGCAATAAGATTTCCTAAATGTTAAGTGAAAAAAAGGTTTTGAGGGCCTTTTTAATACCAGACACGTCATCAGGCCCTTTTCATAATTGCACGTTTATTCTTTACGGCTGCACCATAAGGTAAGTTCCCCATTTTGAAGATGGGGAAACTGAGCCCTGGAGAGTAAGTAACTTGCTTGCAGTGACACAGCTGTTAAATGGCTAAGTTAGGGCTGAACCCCGGACTTCTGATTCCAATCCCATGGTCTCTGTTGATGATAAAATGCCACCTCTCTTGAAGCACTTGAAATATAACAATTTACAGACAAATGGACTTGTACAGAGAAACGAAGCACATTTGTGTGTTATAAACCTGATTAAGAACAGAATTAGTAGTGAAGTCTAGTTAAGAGTTATTCGAACCTGGTCCATATGATGGTGATGGTTCCAAAGTCTAAAAAAAAAAAACAAAAAAAAGCTACATCAAAAATATTTTTCGTTTTGCTTTATTTTGCAGTTTTTTGTTATAGAACATATGTGCTCATCAAGGAGAGAAAAGAAGAAAAGGGAAGGTGAGAAATCACCCTTCGGGAGGGATGGCCACGCCACAAACCCCTCTCCTCCATTCTCCTTTTTGGATTTTGAGCATGCATGTGCATGTGCGCCAAGTGATTTTCAAGTTACAGGTCTTAAGACTCAAACCTCGGGATCAAGCCACCTTAACCTCCATGCCACATGCTGGCCCACATCAAAGATACTTGAGCTGCTACACTCATACCAAAAGCCATTTCAACACGAAATGGCATTAAAGGCTAAATTAGAAAGACTATACCAGTTGCTCGGTGTGCTATTTAATGTTAATCCTGTGAAAACTTCCTACAATTTTATTTGCAAACGTAGAAAGAACAACATAATGAACTCTCACGAAACTGTCTTTTGGTTTTACAACTATACATTTTGTCATGTATGCTTTGTTTCTCCTATTGCTGAATTGTGTTATTTTTAAATTTTCATTTATTTAAAGCTTCTTTCTCGCTTTCTCCCCCTTCCCTACTGACCATCACCACTCCCTATGCTTGCTTAAGGGTGTGGGCCATCAGGGCTGTAACAGAAATGGCGGGTTTCCGGTACCCCATTCTCCTCCTAGGAACAACCACCCCAGGGGAAACCCAGAACAGCGATTACATTTCCCAGCGCCCCTTGGGGCAGCTGTGGCCACGTGAGTAAGTCCTGGGAAACCTGTTTCTAGGAGCAGGGCAGGCCTTCCCCTCTCCCTCGTAGTGTGGTCTGTGGGCCTAGTGGCTGGAGCACAAGCCCCAGTAGCATGAAGTGGACCTAAACCATGAGGTTGGCAGAGCGAGGGTAGAAAGAACTGGATCCCTGCGAATGGTGGTGCTCCCCCGCCACTCTGCCATAACTGATGTGAGGGTCTGGTCCCAGCCCCTGTGATTTTGGGTTTGTGTCACTCAGACCTAATCTGAGCTGTTGTAAGAGCTGCCACTTGCTTTAGGTTAAAATAATAGTAATATTAATCCAGGCAGTGCTGTGAGAGTTTTAAGCTTAAACAAACAAACAAACAAACAAAACACACACACACACACACACACACACACACACACACAACTCATTTAATATAACCACCCTATGGAGAAGTATTATCATTTATCCCCACTGGGGATACGATTATGTAGCAGCTGCCACATAGCCTGCTCAATGTCACACAGCTGGATCGCAGAGTCAGAACTTGAACCCAGGCAGAATGACTCAGCTCGGCAGTCCTGTCCTGTTAACAGAGGCTGGCAAACCAGCGGAGGGCCAAGGCCAGCCTGATGCCTGTTCTTGCTAATAAAGTTTTATTGGAACACAGCTCCAGCCAGTCCCTGGAGGGTCAGCCCTGTTGCATTTACCCCCTGACAGCATAATTACGTAATTATTATGGAGACCCAACGGCTCCCAGATCTGAAGTAGTTAGCACTCGCCCCTTTACTGAGAAAGTTTCCTGGTCCTTGTTCCACATTAGTCTGCCTCTAAATCTGATGTGGAAAAGTGAAACGTTTTCGAAAAGATAAAGTAAGAGCGATTACTTACTTTAGAAAGTGGTAAGCAATAAGATTTCCTAAATGTTAAGTGAAAAAAAGGTTTTGAGGGCCTTTTTAATACCAGACACGTCATCAGGCCCTTTTCATAATTGCACGTTTATTCTTTACGGCTGCACCATAAGGTAAGTTCCCCATTTTGAAGATGGGGAAACTGAGCCCTGGAGAGTAAGTAACTTGCTTGCAGTGACACAGCTGTTAAATGGCTAAGTTAGGGCTGAACCCCGGACTTCTGATTCCAATCCCATGGTCTCTGTTGATGATAAAATGCCACCTCTCTTGAAGCACTTGAAATATAACAATTTACAGACAAATGGACTTGTACAGAGAAACGAAGCACATTTGTGTGTTATAAACCTGATTAAGAACAGAATTAGTAGTGAAGTCTAGTTAAGAGTTATTCGAACCTGGTCCATATGATGGTGATGGTTCCAAAGCAAACTGCCCGTTAGTGAGGTTTGGTCTAATGCTCCTCTACCTAGAAGCCCTGGGAAAACCAGTTGCAGAACATCTTTTAAAAGTCTGGCTTTCTGTGTTGTGAAAAGAATTAGCCATCTTCAGAACTGCACGGTGAGTCGAAGGTCCCTGCATGAGACTAACAAAATATAGGAATCCTTTCAGATAGGCCAGTCTGGCTGTCCTCACTGTGGCTGCGTGAGCCGGGCAGTGAGTCATTGACCACTTAGCTGGCCGTGGCTTTCATAGTCTAAGGTTATAAATCTCTAAGAGAATCTCTAGATCTTTTTCCTTGAAAAAAAATGAACGAACTTAAACTTTCTTCCAGACCGGTGGAAGCTTATTGACAATGCCCCTTAGGGCCCAACCTCCCCTTACAATATGAACTGTAGACTTCCCTCTCGTATCTTCTCTCTGCTGTTACTCGTAGTATCTTCCTCAGTACTGTCACAAACAGCGTTAACCTTGCTAATCATCCATTTCTTATCGGTGCAGGAATAGTGATATTCACAGGATGGTGGTGAAGACAGCCCACACAAAGCGCTGACCCTCTGCCAGTCACGTGAGCATTCACTGTCCTCAGCTCCGATGATCCGAGTCGGCTCATCGGTTCCTTCACTTTATGATGTCACAACCTGAGGTTCATTTCCAGTTCGTGAGGACCCACTGAGCACTGCGGTAGGGTTGGTGGGGGATCGCGAAGCCTGATGAAACCGCGGGTAATTCAAATATGACAGAATTTGTACCTAAGCATATGTAAGGAATAAATAATCTAGAAAATGATAAATAGCGTTCCCTTAGTGCGATCTAACTTATTTTTAGAAGTTAAATATTGATGAACTATTATCCACATTTTCCAGGTTCACGCTGATGGTATTAGTGACTAACATTGGTGTAACGTATACTGTCTTGGGTGGGAAATGATGACATGATGCCATGAGCTTTTTTGAGGTCCTGCTGCTTAGGATGCGTGTTAGGGCTCCTCACACACACATGCACACATGTATACAGAGAGAGAGAGAGAAAGGGAGAAAGAGGAAAAGAAGGAGAAAAATTGATTTATTGTTAAAAAAAATTGGCTTCAGAGGTCACAGAGGCTAAGTCCCAAGATCCACAGGGTGAGCTGATATGCTGGAGACTCCGGAGTGCTGATGGTGGAGTTCCAGTCCACGTCCGGAGGCCTAAGAAGCAGACGAGTCAATGCTTTGGTTCTAGTCTGAATGCTGGCAGGCTTGAGACCCAGGAAGAACCTGTGTTCCCGTTTGAGTCTGAAGGCAAGAAAAAATGGATGTTCTATTTTAAAGGCAGTCAGACAGGAAGAATTCTCTCAGGGAAGGGCCAGCTTTTATTCTATTAAGACCTTCAGCTAATTAGATAAGGCCCGCCAATAGCAGGAAGGGCAATTTCAAATTTCAGAATTGATTGAGGCGTGCCTATGCCTGGGCCTCTGTCTCCGGGGGTGGATATCTGATGTGCACTTGCTAAGGATGGTGATCCTGCGCTTAGTGGGAGTGGTCGTACAGAAGCAGATCCAAACTGGGACCCCGAGGAAGAGCAGGCACCAGATGGCCGAGCCCTCTAGGACTGGACTAGGTGCCATTGCCACTACTGACTGACTTTTTCACCTCAAAAGCATGGACGGTGTAAATTCAACCAAACACATGGAGTGTAAGTTCCGTGCTTCTTAAACTTTCCCATTTTACAAAGTCCTAGAGTTAAAGACTCTCTCTCTATTGTAACACGTAGACACGCAGGCTGGAGCCACAGACGTTGAAAGGAAAACTAGATGAGGCGAGGGCTGCTAATTCCCTTAGTCAGGGTCCTGACAAGGTGCTTACATGACAGTGTGAACCCCTGAGGTTGCCAGATTTAAGAAAAAAGAAAGAAACAAAAAGAAAAAGAAAAAGAAAAAGAAAAAGAAAAAAAAGGCTATGCAGTTAAATTTGAATTTTAGAAGAATGAGACATAATTTTTTGGAGAAGGATGTTTTGTGCGGTAGCTCTGAGAGAAGCTAAATATCCTGGTATTAAAATTTATTAACCGACTGAACTATGGCTTTACCTGGGAGTTCTGGGAAACTGAGCTGGCGACTGTGCGGTCTCCATTCAGTCCTGCTAAAGAGGACAGGACTTCTGGCACTGGATGGCTGTGGCCTAGGGAGATGGGCTTCTCCTTGGGATGGTCACGATTCTGTCCCTGGGAGGACAGAGGCATCCCCGGCCAGAGGCCAAGTTCACGAGCCACCAGGTTGCCAAGTCAACAGCTGAACACCCATGAAGAACTTCCTTTCGAGGGCACCTACGAGAAGAGTATGGAGCTTTATCAGGAGCCGTCGACGCCACTGTGCTCTGTAATTATTCATTCACTAATTGCCACAGCATCCTGTTGAGGTTGGTAAAATAAAGCAAACAGGGACAGAGTAGGAGGTGACTCACTGGGCAGGCCAGCAAGCCAGGGAGGAGAGGCAGAGAGTGCCAGGCTGGGCCCAGTTTGCCGTAGGAGAGACCTGCAGGCTGGCTGGCTCGGGGCTGCCCTAGCATCATTAAAGTCCAGAGAAAAGCAGACAAGGCTAATGAGGAGGATGCTCAGAAACTCATAAAGTCTCTGTATTTTAAACAGCCCTGTTGTTGGTAAACGATAGGCTAGAACAGAAATAGATGCAAAGAAAACTAGTGAAGACAGCCCCTCCAGGAGAGAATACCTAAATTACCCTTTATTTCTCCCCAAGTGAAGGTGAATTTTGTCAGATCCTGGAAAAAGATAATGAGAGAAGCAAAACTATTCTACTCTGTAATAACAATAGACCTCAATCAAATATCCGTTATATCAGGTACTGGACATATTTGTTCAAGTTTAATCTTTTTAAAAATAATTATTTAATTGTATTATTATTATTATTATTATTATTATTATTATAAATTTTGCTATAGGGCACATGTGCTCACGAGAAGGAGAGAGGGAGAAAGTGAGAAAGCAAGTCACCAGGTCCAGGACTTGAACTAGAGTCTGCCATATGGGAGTCTAGTGCCTTAACCACCACATCACTGCTGGCCCCTCGGGTTAATCTTTACAGGACGTCTTTGTGTACTGACCGCCATTTTAACAATGGGCGGCTTGAGCTCAGAGAGCTCAGGAGACTTCCCCACACTGCTGCCCAGTGGAGGAGAGATTCACACCCAGGCCTTGCCTGACTCAGGCAGATACCATTGTCTGCAGAGACCAGCCTGCCCACACGCAGGAAAACCCCAAACACCTACATCTAATGGAATGACTTGTCTTTTACAATAGCATTGACTTGAACTCTTGAGTAAGATGTCTTTTCTTAGGATGGGATGACTCCAAAGCAGGCTTCATTTTATATTCATTCACACACACCATCACCAGTCACTTTGCTATGGGGTGAGTCTACAAGAGGCCTCACTTGATATTCATTCATTCATTCAGCATAACGTCGTTATTTGCTGAGAATTTACTAGGTGCAGAACACTGCTTTACGTCACCTTTGGGAAGTCTTAATGTCATGGAACATGGAAGAAATTCATGGGCTTGGCAATTTGAATCCAGGAGTGGGGAGGGATGTTAACATTTTGTTGTGTGCTTGTACTGACACACTTTGCTGGAAACTTTGATGTATGATTCCAGTTAATGCTGGTTGTCCCACAATGTAAGCACTTCTGTTTGCTTTTACAGAGGAAGAATCAATGACTTGGAGAAGTGGAGGCTGTCTTAGGCACACGGCCAGTAAGTCCTACACTTGAGAGTCTAGTCTGGTTTGGTCTGCACATCCCACTGTCTTTGCTCTTGAGGGGACTTCACCATCATGTCATCAACAAGAGACCAGATTGCCCTCAGCAACAAAACCGATGGGGGCCAATCTCAAGAGGATGTGGGGTCCATGGTCACCCAACGCCACCAGGAACATGCCCCACACCCTTCACTCCCTTCTTTCTTTCCATGTCTTGGCCTCCTCCTGTCTCCATGTTTCCTGCCTGGAGGAGGGTGGGTGTTGTTTCTTTTTGGTACGACCTTCTGGTGACAACTCACTTGTGTTGGAATATCATGGGACCGTTTCTTCCCCCGTTGAAAACTTATGAATCTGTGGGCTGCTAAGAAGGGTGAGCCCACGCCCCTGTCCACCAGAGTAATCACATGACTCACTCCAGGTCAGCTGGAGTTTGTCCTTAGGACTTTTTTCATTTCATAAGAGGAAAGAGGACATGTGGCCATTGCCCTGGGGTGACGTAAGTAGGGCTTCTTGTGACCCAGCCTCTTCTCTTCTGCCCCTGGAGGAACACAGGACAACGTGTGATGCGACAGGAGATTGCAGGCCCAGTGCTGGCAGCTGAGGCCCCGGTCCGTCGGTCACTAGCTGTTAAATCCCCTTTGTGTCTGTGTTAGTGCGAGGCGGTTTCTGTTATGGAGAGAAGGGGTCCCAGTTCACAATTCCAGCCACGTGCCCTGGCTCACTTTTTCACTCTGTCTCATGCCAAACCTTCAATGCTATTTACTCATTTTCTTTCTGTTCATCTACCTTAACTCTGGTGGAATGTACTTCCCTGGCCTCGCAGCTCGGCTGGTGCTGAGCTCACGGGGAACAGAGTCCCACCAGCCCGTGGGCCCCAGTCTTCCCCTTTTCACTCTCTCTTCTCTTCTCAGCAGTAGCCACCTGGAACTCTCCCCTCCCTCCTCAGACTTATGACGCTCCACTTCTCCCTTGCCGCAAGTGGCCCAACTCATCCTCACGGGGAAACAGAAGCCCAGAGAGCACAGCTCCTTGCACAGGTGTCCGCAGCTGCCCCAGGACGATTACAGGCAGCGGCAAGCTTGGGAACGTAGATGGCCACTGGGTTGAACCAACGCTTCTCAGAGGAGGGCAGGAGTCCAAGGAGGAGGGAGTGGCTCTTTACTGTCAGAAAGCATCTTGCCTTATCATGTGAAAGGCAACTGAGGACAAATAAGGGTGATTGCCTGGTGCCACAAGGTCACCTGACGGCAGGCCCTGAGGGTCGTTAGCCACTGGCAGACAGCTGGGAGGCAGAGTGGCCCAGGTTCATGACAGCAGACTGACCTGAGGAGGGATGCTCGGACCACTGAAAGTGCATTGGGTCCAGATTTTGAAAACCATTCCACCAGGGGCTGACCAGCCAGATCTTGTGCTGCACATGCGTCCATCAGCAGCGCAGCTGAGCCCGGGGATGGTACCGTGTCACCCATGCCCTTTCCCTGGCTGTGGGATGAAGCAGGAGACCTTCCCTGAGACCAGAAGAGTTGTAGGCACTGGACCAGGGGTGCTGTGTCTCCTCCCCACTGTCACACAGCAGCCTTGGGGTCTGGTTTCTTAGAGAGGGTTAAAGGTGCCTCACACCTGCCTGGAACAGGACAGTGGAAGAAAGCATGGCTCCTTCCCTGCCTTCCCTGTTCCCAGACCTGGGGTAGGAGAGGCACATTTCAGAGGAGGATGGCGGCCCTGGGTTTCCAGGGAGATGAGCAGCAGAGATCTTGGGGCAGAGTGAGGTAGGAAGAGCTAAGGGCGGGTGCTGGATGAAATGCAGCTCAGTGCTCCTGTCTGCCCGGTTCTCCAGGAACGCAGGAGGAAGGAGGACCTGCAGGCTTGCAGAACCTGCTCTGTTGCAGAGGACTAAGCAGGGCAGGTGCCCGTAGACCTGGGGTAGGCCATGTAGGACTTCCTTCTCCCATCTGAGGCTCCTTCCTCCACCTGTGCTCTGGTCCCGCCCCTCATCCCTGGAAGCTCCGTGTAACAATTACCTCTGTCTCGAACCCCCTTCCCGGCAGCGTTGCACACACACTCACATCTGTCCCATGTCTCTGTGGGCCGCCGCCACCCTCTTGCTCCCTCCCTCAGCTCCCCTGCAGCACCTCTTTCCAAGCCCTCTCCTCGTCGCCGTGCCTGGCTGTCCCTTGGACTCTCTGGCTGGCCCTCTGGGCTGCATGTGGCCTGTTGCTCCTGCCTTTCTGGAAGGTTCCTCTTTTTCACTTTCCACACCCCAGGCTATTTCTCCTATTTCCTAAAGGTCGCTCATTTCCCCTCCCCGCTCCCAGTGCCTGGGCCTGGCCCTTGTCAAGCTGGTTGCCTGGACAGCTCCCTCACCACCCTCTTGTGCTTCTGCTCACCGTCTGGCCATCCTCCATCAGCTGCCCCAGAGAGCCCAGTGTCCTGTGAACCCGGTCCCACCGCGCTGTGGCCTAGTCCTGGGCAGCGGACTAGTCCTCCCATAGCCTTTGGGACAGAGCTCCTTGGTGGGCACAAGGCCCTTTGTGACCTGGTGCCTGATTTCCGCTATGGACTGCCCGCTTGGCGGTCCTCTCCAGTTACGGGAGCACCCAGGGTTCCCAGTGAGCCACGTTCTCGCTCTCTCAGGGCCCTGGGCCTTGGTGGGTGTGGGTCCCTCTGCCTATGATGCCCCACCCCTTTTCTGGTTGGCGGTCCTCCCTCTACCCGGTGATCTCCTGACTTTCTCACCCTGGGCTGAATTTAGATATCATTTTTCAGAGCCCTTACAGACCAGCTTTTGTACTGGGATAAGCGTTCCAAAGAATACCCAGCCCCCCAGCAAAGAAGTCAAGAAGATGAGCACTGACCAGGTGAGAGTTGGGCCTGGCTGTCTCCCAGGCGGACTCGCCAGGAGAAATCGACTCGGTGCAGAGCCCAGCTCTGGGTCTTGACGGCTGAGGAACACAATCACCAGTGCACCGAGAGCGCGAGTGAGTGAGAGAGTGCGCGCACGCCTTGCAGAGGCAGACTTAATAACGCAGCCTACCCAGCACGTTTGCAGCCAGGAGGGCTCTTGATTTAGAACGGGGCCCATAGTGCAGCCGCAGGACGCCCTCAGCCAACGCATGCCCTCCTGTCTTGGAGGGAGAGGCGGGAAGTGGAATGGAGGAGGGTTTGCCTTCCAGAGCTGTACACACTGGCGTGCAGAGAAGGGGAAAACGCTACATGCTATGAAATCAATCTCTTTCTCCTCCCTGGCCTGCAGACAAGGCCTGGTCACCAACTGTACCTTGTCTCTGCTGATGGAGGGTTAAATTGCGTCCCCCAGAAGCCACCCCCAGGACTTGCAGACATGACCGTATTTGGAAATTGGGCCCTTGCAGATGAAAGTAGGTAAGATGAGGTCCCACTGGGTTGAGATGGACCCTAATCCTGTGACCGCTGTTCTCATAGAAGAGGGATTTTGGACACAGAGAAGAACGTGATGTGAAGATTGAGCGATACAAGGAGATGCCATCTGATGGTGGGCAGGGACTGGCATGTAGAGGCCACCCCACAAACCGAGGAAAGCCAAGAATGCCAGCAAACTCCAGAAATAAGGACAGAGGCCAGGGACAGGCACCACAGAACCCCAGGTTAACCGACTGCACCAGTGCCCCAATTTTGGACTTCCGGCTTTTTGCTGTTGTTTGAATAGCTTGGTTTGTGGTACGTTGTTGCCCTGGAAACTAATAGGATGCTGTGCAGATACTGCCACTTTTTCTGTGTGATTAGAAAAATCAGAAAAACTAGATTCCATCAGAGAAGCATGGATGCATCTTTATTCTTTTTTATTTTTTAGAGGTTTTTTTTAAAAGATGTTTTTGCCTTGGGGTATGTGTACTTGCCAGAGAGGGAGGGAGGGAGAGAGAGTGAGAGGGAAAGTGAGAGATCGCCCCCAGGAGGGATGGCCATGCCACAATCCATTCTCCTCCAGTCTCCTCCTGGAATCTTGGTCACACATGCACACATGCCTAGCATGAGTTTCAAGTCACTGGTTCTGGGACTCGAACTATGGTTGGCCATGTGGGAGTCCAGTGATGTAACTGCTGTGCCATCGGCTGATCCCTACATCTTTATTTTTAAGAATCTGTTGGCCACCCCCCCTTCCCCAGCTGTGCCCTGGCTGCTCGCTCTTCTCACACAGCACTCTTGGGTGACAACCCCTCACTGAGCCTTCTCTCTGTCCTCTCTGCCTTGGTTTCTTTCTTTATCTCTTCTCTCCTCCTCTGCCTCCTCCTCCTTTGATCATGCCTAATGGGGCGTTCTCTCTCTCTCTGAGTATGCATACCCTCCAACAACAACGAAAACAAAAACAAACAAAAAAAGACACGTTACTGAATGATTGCAACAAGTACATTACGTAAAGTAGGTTTTACATCCTTCTTTATATTAAAAATCTGAGGCTCAGGCAGGCTAAGCAACTCGACCAAGACAGAGCTGAGGTTTGAACTTAAAACAATATGACTTCAAAGCTCTCTTTTTTCCCCAATGCTTCCCCAAACTTGAACTTTTTTTTAATGCTAGATGTCACGTGTGCATATGGGGGGAGGGGAGGGAGAGAAAGCATTCTCTAATAGGGCCAATCGTGCCACAGTCTTTGTCCTCTAATTCTCCATCCTGCTGGGACGCCGGGCACACCTGGGCCTGCCTGGTGTGTTGATGCAGCCAGGCCTGGGACTGGAACTGTCAGCCATGTGGAAGCCGTTTTCTTCAGCTCGGCATTTAACCACTATGCTACAGGGCCAGCCCCAGAGCTCTTCTTTTTAACTATGTGGCTAGACTTTAGATGCTGTAGTCTTGTCAATACTTGGAAGAGCCTATCAAATTTTTCTGTTCTTCCTATGATTTTTAGTATCTTATAGAAATTGGCTGCTGTGGGTCCAGCAGGTGGTGTGGTAGTTGGGGCACTGGACTCTCACCACCTGGCTGACCATGGTTCGAGTCCTGGACCTAGCCACTTGCTTTCACACTTTTTCTTGTTCTCTTCCTCTCTGGTGAGCAAATTAAAATAATAATAATAAATAAAATTAATTAAATAATTCTTTGAAAAGAGAAAATGGCTGCTGGAAATAAATATAAAACGTGTAAAAAATTCAAAATGGTGATCTATTCTTCAGTTATTTTTAGTCATTTATTTTCTCATTTCATAGTAAAATAATAATTATTATTATTTGGTCTTAAGTCTAAAGACCTATGATGTTTTGTGTAGCAATTCTATTGAGTTTATATAGGTAGTGCCCACGTGAACAGCTCCTTGTGTTAAAGTAATACTTTGAAAAATAAACAAAGGTATCTTCATAACTTTTCTTTTAAAATGTTTCAATACTAGTTTTCTTTTAAATGCAAATTTTGTGTTGCTTGAGACTTAGGCATCCGTTGACATTCTTAGCCGAGTAAAATAAGTCATTCATTTTTTTCAAAGTTTTGTGTGCCAAGTGGCAAACCCATGTAGCCTTGGCTTGAACGCATGGAATATTTTAGTTTGACTTATTAAACCCAATGAAACTTGGGTGAGGGAAAGTACTGTCTCACTCAAGCAGCAAACTCGAAGCTCATGTTATTAACATGCTCTTGGTCTCCCAAATGTCTCCGAAGCAGATGACGGCGAGTTTCTGTGTCCTCCTTGCTCATGTGGACTTCGTTCACAGACCATCCCTGACACAGACACCGCCGCACTGCACTGGGTGCTGTGAGCCTTCTCTACACTGCGTCCTCCCTGCTGGGATAAACAAACAGCCCAAAGACCTTGGATGGAGTCCACGTACTGTGAGCCAAGCTGGAGTCTGCATAAACATGCAGAAAACGTCTAGCCTGGAGAGGTGCCACTGTGCGATTCGTAGCCCAGTGTAAAACATGAAGACAGGAGCTCCTGCTCGAAAAGTATCCGGCATTTCAAGACGGGCACAGCAAAGCACAGACCAGGTGCTGGCCCCGACTGGGACCGCTCAGGCCACACTCCCAAGGGGCTGGCTCTGCCCTGGGGGCTGCCCTTCCTATTTTCAGAACACTGGGATTTCTGTCTGCAGCCTGTCACCTGGGTCTTTGTTCCCTGTACCCAGCCTCCAAATTCTATTGAGTCTCTAGCCCGGGTCCCTAAAGCAACATGTACGTCTCCCTGTCCCCCTCTGGATGGCTCTCACCTAGAATCACTTTCTCCTGCTCTTGGGCAGAAGGACAAAGACCTGAATGCAGGCGTCACCACTTTCTGTCCACCTCTTCCAGTATCCTGGGCACAGGTCACACTTTCTGCCACCCTGGCCTTCTTCCAGCCTGTCCTCTTCCAATCTGCCCCTGAAGGAGGGATGCTTTCCGGCCTCTGACTATTCTCAGCCTGCTCGTTCTGCCTGCACCAACCTTTCTCCTGTCTTGGCCTGGCTAACTCATGTTCAGCCTTCAGGTCTTGGCTTAAACCTGTGTTGCACAGGGACTGCTCCTGCCTTGTTCGCCTGTACCAGCAGAACTCTACAAGTACCAGTAGGTGGATGGACAGATGGACGGATGGACAGGAGGCTCCCACGAGTGGACTCAGTATTCACTGAGATGGAGAGTGAAGTGCTGTGAGTTAGCCACTAGGGAGTCATGCTTGTTATTGCTGCCACTGCGCGAAAGGCTCATAGAACATTCTAGTTGCCTTGCTGCATTCCACTGTGACTCACCTGAACAAGCGCTGCTGGTGGAAGGTGTCCACCGCATGCATTGGTGTTGCGTGTGATCTTGAAAGGGCCCTTCTGTGTACCTTTTACGTGATCTGTGTCAGGCTTTGATTCCAACTGGTTTTCTGGTTTGTGACAATACGCATGTATTACTTTGGTAATTATGGCAAGCAATCCTCCAGCCCAGGAGATTACTCTTTATTATTTTATTTTATTTTTTTCTGGAGAGGTTTTTGCTATAGGGCACGTGCACTCACCAGAAAGACAGAGAGAGACTGAGAGACAAAAATCACCCCTCTGGGAGGATGGCCATGCCACAATCCCTTCTCCTCCATTCTCCTCTCAGGATCTTGGGCAAACACACACACACGCCCAGTGTGAGTTTAAGCCACCGGGACCAGGACTCAAACCACAGTCGACTACATGGGAGTCCAGCGACATAGCCATTACGCCAACTGCTGGTCCCCCAGCATGAGTTTAAGCCAATGGGTCCAGGACTCAAACTGTGGTCCAGCAACATAGCTATTACACCAACTGCTGGTCCCAGAAATTACTCTTAAAAATGTACCAGGCAAGAGCAATTTGCGGTAAGGGTTCATTTTCTTTGCAAAGGCATTTCCTCTGAATGTAAAGGAGGAAAAATTTTCCTCCTATGCTCCACACACCATAGGAAAAATAGGGTATGAGAGGAAGTAGTAGAAATGCTGCCAATTAATTACGCTTGAAAACTTTAAATCAAGTTAAGAAAGCAAACGTGGCCATCAAGGTAAAGCGTGAGTGCGACTGGTCACCATGGATGGCATTCGATGCTTCAGGGCCTGAGCTATGAGAAGTTCCAGGGCTATGGCCTTTTATCCCAGGGTCCCTAGCCTCCCTATACTATCTGTCCTCAGTCACCTTCCTTCTATTATGTCGGTCTTTGCTACATAGCAAGGAAAAGAAACGAAAACTCTAAGGGCCCAGCCTTGTGGCATAGTTGGTAGCAAATTAACCACAGTGCTGGAAGCCAAAGAGGTGACCAGGGTTGTTTCAAGTCCTCAGGTCTGCCTGAAAACCTGCAAGTGTGTGGGTGTGCCAAGATTCTGACAAGCTGGAGTGCTGGGGAAAAGGAATTGCAGCATTAGAAAACCTGATGGAGGGTGCTTCTCTCTGTCTCTCTCTCCTGCATG